AAGATCAGGAACAAGACAGGTTATCTGCTCTCACCACTGCTTCTCAATATTATATTGGAGGTTCTAGTCAGGGCCATTAGGCAAAAAGACATTCCCCATAGAAAGCAAGAAGTAGGACTATCTCTTATTTGCAGATAACATGACCTTGTGTATAGAAAATCCTAAAAATTCCACTAAAAAACAATTTAAATAAATAAGTTCAGTAAGGTTGCAGGATGCATAATCAATATACAAAAATTAATCGCATTTCTATACACTTGCTTTGGACATCTGAAAATGAAATCAAAACAGTTTTATTTACAGTAACTTCAAAAATAATAAAGTACTTAGGAATAAGTTTAACAAAAGCAGCATAGGACTTATACATCAAAAACTACAAAATATCATTGAAAGAAATTAAAAGCCTAAATAAATGGAGAGACACCTTTTCATGAATTGAAGGGTTTACCAGTGTTAAAATGACAAGAGTTCCCAGGTTCAACACAATCCCTATCAAAGTCCTAACTGCTTTTTTTGTTTTTGCAAAAATTAGCAAGCTGAGCCCTGGCTGGTGTGGCTCAGTTGGTCGGGCAACATTCCTGTGCACCAAAAGTTTGCCAGTTCGATTCCTGGTCAGTGCACATGCCTGGGGGTTCAGGTTTGATCCCTGGTAGGGGGCGTGTAGGAGGCAGGCTGGATATTCTGCTCTCACATCAATGTTTCTCTCTCCCTCTCCCTTCCTCTCTCTCTAAAAATCAAAAAAATTTTTTTTTCCAATTAGCAAACTGATCCTAAAATTCATTTGGAAATGCAAAGGACCTAGACCAGCCAAAACAATCTTGAAAAACAAAATTGGAGGAGTCATATTTCCTGATTTCCAAATTCATTGAAAAGTGATCATCAAGGTAGCGTGGTACTGACATAAGGATAGATATATAGATTGATGGAACAGAATTGAGAGTCCAGAAATAAGCCCTTACGCTTATGGTTAATTGAGGTTTAACAAGGATGCCAAGATAATTCAGTGGAGGAAAGATTAGTTTTCAATAAATGTTGCTGGGACAAGTACGTAACCACATGCAAAAAAAATGAAGCTGGACCCTTCCTTACATCATATACAAAAATTACTCCCAAATGGATCATAGTCCTAAATGTAACAGCTAAAGCTAGCAAACTCTGAGAAGAAAACATGCAGGGTGGGCAAAAGCAGGTTTACAGGTGTTTGTAGGGAAAATAATACAATAATTAATAAATATTAATACAAGAATAAACTCTGTGTTTTGCATACTCACAGCTATAAACCTATTTTTGCCCCCCACCCTGTATGTGGAAATTTTCATAACCTTGGGGTAGGTAGGCAAAGGCTTCCTAGATATGACACCAAAAAGCCCAGGCAACTAAAGAAAAAAAGTAGATAAACTGGACTTCATCCATATAAAACACTTTTGCTGCAAATAATACCATGGAAGTGAAAAGACAACCCACAGAAGGGGAGAAAACATTTGCAAATTATATATCTGAAAAGGGAATCCAGAGTATAATGAACTCTTACAACTCAATAACACAAAGAAGCCAATTAAAAAGCGGGCAAAGGATCTGAATAGATATCTCTTCAAAGAAGATACACCGACGGCCCACAGGCACACAGGGAGATGCTCGGCCTCACCAGCTGCCAGGGAAACGCAAGTCAACAGCACAGCGAGACGCCACCTCACGCCACCGGGTTGTCTGCAAATGCAATTCTACCTGAACCCCCCTTTGCCATGGAACCTACATATAATTACAAGGATATTACGGCAGTTTTCTTTCAGCACATTTGACGACCCACGTGAAATGGATGATTTTTAAAAAACACACCAAAAAACCACCGTAGGGAAAGTGAAGACACTTACGCTTTCTCGCCACCTTCTCGGGGCAGAGGCCACAGTTTCGTAAACATGACACAGCATCGTCGTGACAGATGCCCCGTCAGTTGTCTGACCCATAGTTGGCCGAGCGCCACCCCTGTCCGGGTTCCTATGAGACTGGTCCAGGACTTTCAGAGGTGCGGATTGCTCTTGCGGGTTTGTGGGTTCGCGGGTGCGGGTGCCCCCCGTGTGACTATGCCCGGCCGGCTGCCACCGGGAAGACGGTTTCTCTGCACGTCAGCCTGGCCGTCGGCTGAAAATAAAATGTCTCGTTCTCCTTCAGCTCCAGTGTTTCTTCCGACTGTCCCTGGATCTAGAGTGAACCCCCCTGGCCCTGAGTGGCCACTACAGGTGGCGCAGTCCTTGGCACAACACTTGGCCTGATCCTCTGCATCACAGCCATAGAGGCAGAAATGCTGGTAATAGAACTTAAATTGGACTGAACCCTAAAACCAGCAATTTTCCACCTTTTCCATCTCATGGCACACATAAACTAATTACTAAACTTCTGTGGCACACCAGAAAATATATTTTTTGCTGATCAAACAACAAAAAAATTATATAATTTTGATTCATCCACACTGGACAGCTATTGTTGTCTCGGCTGTTGTCATTTTTTTATTTGACAGTCTTAGGGAAAAGAGGTCAGTGCCCCTGACTGAACAGTCAGGTATTGCACGTTTTAACAATTCTCACGGCACAGTGGCTGACAATCGCTGCCTAAAACCAAACTGATAGCTGGGGCATCTGGATGGTGAGGGTTGTGGAGCCGGCCAGCTCTGGGACCAACCTGGAGAAACGTTACGCCCTGTGCCCGAACGACCCAGAGTCACCTGGAGATGAGGCCAGGAGCCTGGCAGGTGACCCTGCTCTGCCCTCCCTCACTGTGTGGCTGTGGACATGTCCTGGCCCTTGCTGGGCTTGGGCTTCCTCTAGTTGGATTCTAGACCATAGACGCTGGTGTCCCCGGGCAGCTGGAGGTGGCCAGAGGGTGGGAGGGAGAAAGGAACACAGGATGAGAGTGTTTCTGGTCACCTCCACCCGGACTGCTTCATCCAAAGCAGCTGCCTTCTCAACAGTGTCACCGAGTGGATTTTCCCGTGCGATTTTATCTGAAGAAAGCTTTGCTGCTAAAACAGAGTCTGAAGCCCGATGACCGCAGCCCCCACGCTGCCTTCAGCTCTGAGCTTTTCGTGACTTCCACCTGCCGCAGTTCAGCGGCTTTGCCTTGGTAACTTCCTGCCTGGTCTGTTAGGATTTTGAAGAAGTTAATAATGTGTGTTTTCCCCTTTTTACAAAACCACTGATTAATCCGGAACATAATCTACACTTGCTTTCCCCAGTGGCCCAGAACCAGGCCAGAGCGCGGGGCTGACGCTGGCGGGGCTCGGCCTCCGCACGGCCCCCGCTCCCTCCTGGGCACCTCGTGGTCTACAGCCCACGGCAAAAATAGCCTCGCGCAGCTTCTGCCGGGGAGACGCTTACCCAGGGAGAGGGTTCATTTGCTAAAAAAGAAAACGGCTCCCAAATTGCTACCATAATTTTGGAAGTTATTTTTGCAAAACATATTGGCACAGAAAGACGTCCGCGCCCTCTAACGGGCCATCCCGCTCTGTGCATTTGCCCTGAGGACGCAAAGCTAACTTTAGAAAAAGGCTGGTGGGCAAAGCTGCCCTCGCAGTGCTGTGGGCGAAAGGGAGGCGGGGAGGCAGGAAAGCAGACGGGCTGAGGGAGAAGGGTGAGGAATCTCAGCCCTGAAGCTCCCCTGCCGCCCGCAGCCCAGTCATGCGCCCACCGCCGCGGCCTGAGCACCCGCCACTCCCGGCGCTGCGCCAAGCGTGGGAGGCAGGAGCCTCGTGCCTCACGGAGCCTGTGGACTGAGGGCTGCGCCAGGCTTACAAGTCAACGTGAGAAGGGAAGTACAACGAGCGGGTGCACCAAAGAGGGAAAAGAACCCAGGCTAGGTGCTTCCGGAGGGCTTCCTGGAGGAAGCGACCTGTAAGCTGAGTTGACGTTCTGGTGATTGGTGAGGAAACGGGAGGAAGAGCGTTAGGGCCGAGAGCCCAAGAAAAGGCTGGGGGGCGGCAGAGGGCGGGCTATAGTGTCAGGACACGCAGCTCACACAGGACACACAGGACACACAGCAGGAGCAGAGAAGGTGAAGGAGTCGGAGCCCGCCAAACAGGCCCTGTGCCCTCACGAAGGAGCGTCCCCTGAGCCACTACAGGGTTTTAACCAACGGCAACTATTTAGAAAACTCGCTCACTGCCAGCGAGGCTTGCGGAGCCGTGTTCCACAGAACACACTTTGGGAAATACTCCCTCAAGACGGCCCCCGGCCTCCCCTGCAGCTCCGCCATTCTGCGAGGCGTTTGGAAACACGTCCCTCCGTGGGGCCCGCAGAGCACCTGGGGGACCTGGGGAGAGGGGAGACCTCGGTAGCTGCTTGGCTGCCCTCCTGGGCTCCCCACCACCCAGGGCTGTTCTGAGCACACGGGCCCTTCCAGCCTCTGCTCCCAGCGGAGGCCTGAGCTCAGGAGCTGCCTCAGCCTGGGAAGGAGACGTGGAGTGAACATGCCCACAGAACAAGGGAGAAGCCCTTCCCTTAGTGGCTGCATTTCTGAAAATGCTTTCCCACCACCTGGTGCCACGGACCCGCAAGGACTGCAGGCGAGGGGGGCAGCCTCAGGTGCCAGAGGCCAGGAGCTCTGGGGGCTCCTCCCACGTGGCCACGCCTTGGCTCATGTTAATGAGGGAGGGAGGGAATGCTGGACACCCTCAAGGCTAATACTGGGCTGTTTAAATAATTTCATTTAAATGTAGGCAAGTGGGAAGAGAGCAATAACAGTTCACATGGTGCCCCTTTTCCATTACTGAGCTTAAAAAACAGTGGCAGAAAAACACACACAACAGTGGCACTATACAGAGATAAAAGTAGATCTCAGAAGTTACTAATGGGTCCCTTTCCCTTCCCTGATCTATTCCTTCAATTATTAACTTTAAAATGATTACTTTGCAACTCTGATAAATGTTTACATACCATATGCAAACTATAGTCCCCAGGTGAGGGAGAAAAATATCTGTGTATGAAACAGAATATAGTGTGAATCATAGCTAATTTTAAATATTTTAATTTATATACTTTCATGATTATAGGTCAATAAGAAATCCACTTTTCAGATTTTATTTCATTACAGAATATATTTGATAAGGATACATAGAAACAGATTCACCTTTAATACATGTTGCTCACCGGTGCCCTGCACTCCGCAGCCGCCTGGAGCTGTCACCGAAACGCTTCCCAATGCCGCACCCAGGGGGCCAGCTCAACAGCCAGGGCTGTGAGTTCAGATAGCTCAACTCACTTACTTGCCTAGAACAAGTAAAGATCTTAATATTTGTTTTTACGTCTGCTTATTACTCTTCTATTTTAAAATCTGAGATACATTCCCCAATGTAAACAATACATTTCAGTCTGTCACACAATCGAAATGGGTAAGGCCTTCTTGACAAATGGGTGCCACCTCCGTTTCCCCGAGCAGAACGCAACCTTATTTCATAGCCAGATGAGCCGTCCAGGCACAGAAGACAGGCAAGCAGCTGCCTTGAGGGCCTGGCGGAGCCGCCCAGGCTTCCCCCCGCTGCGGGCTGGTGGTATCTTTTTGACTTGGTCTACTTGGTCTTAAAATACAAATATACAATGTCCATAAGCATAAAATAGTAAAGCCTAGCCTTACGTATTTATTATGAGTTGCTAAAATCCTATACAAGTACAATACCGTATCATGCCAATGAATATACAGAGGAAGGTGGCCGAATGTCTCCGTTCCTGGGGCAGGTGAACGGCGACCAGAAGGGGGCGCCACTCACAGGGGTGGTAAGCGGCTGACTGCGTGGGGTAGGCAGGCGGTCTAACTGCAACTGGGAAATGCCCGAATGCCCGGCTGAGCGTTAATCAGCCCCCTCCCCAGCCTCCCGGGGGAGGCCCGAAGGGAACCATACACAAGAGAACCAAGTAAAGTCGTAGCTGCAGTTCCTGACTCAGCTGTGCAGTGGCTTCTTCTCGCGACTCCATCCGTGTGTCCCTTTAGGACCAGCTCATCCACAGCGACCGGTCGCGATCCAGCACCTCGGCATAAACGTCCCGCTTAGCGGGCTCGGTGGCGAGAGGAAAGCCTACACGCAGCGTCTGAAAAGGCATTCTGTGACCGTTTCAGGGTTCATAGAAAAGTTACGAAGGATACACCAGTTAATGTGTCGATGTCACCGTAATGTAAACCTTGGCTTTTTTTTTTTTAACATTAAACGTGTTTTCTATATTGTACAACAGAGAGACCTGAACTGCTGATCCGCCGTGGCCACTACGCTAAGGTAACCGGTACAGGGAGTGGTTTTCCTGAGGTTTGTGAGGACTTTTCAAACAAGACAGAAATCACAGTGACTGAGGAACCGAGTCCGTGCCGCCGGCCTGCTCTGCGCCGCGGTCCCTGCGGGCACTAGATGACCCGCCACTGCATGATGCTGGTGTCTTTGCCGCCCGTGGAGATGAGGTGGCTGTCGTCACAGAGGAAGTCGACGTTGGTGACGTGACTGCTGTGCCCACTGTACACGTGGCTGGGAGCCTGGGAGGGAGACACGGAGGGACCTTAATGCAAAGCTCACGCCTGGGAGCTGGAAAGTCCTGGAATTGTGCGTTCATTCCCCAATTCCTTTTGTTCCTCCCTCACTTAGCTACACTGCGTGGACACAGGGGGGACACAGACACACCCACAGTGTCCTGAACGTCAAGAATTGGGTCTGGTCGGGGGGCAGACATGGACGAGCGACTGCCCTGGGCGGATATGTTCAATCCCAGAGATTTCGGGGGTGGAGGCTGAGGGGTGTCAGGAAAGGGAAGGGCCAGGAGGGGCGTGCTGGGCATTGGTGCTGGCTCATCACAGCGGGGCTGGAGCAGAAGGGCCGTGGTGGAGGGGAGGAGTGGGGCCCATGAAAGAAGCCAGAGAGGTAGCAGAGCCAGATCTAAGGGCTTCATAGGGTCAGGGTTCCCTGGAGGGCAGGGGGAGCCCCCGAAAGGCAGAGGGTGACAGGGTCAGGTCTGCGCCTGTGACTGGTGGCATTCACGCACATGCCTTTCTATTTAATTCCCAAACAGCCACATCAGGCTGCAAACAGCCCACAAGGGGCGAGATTCGTGAAGACACGTCCTTACCCTGAACTGCGAGCAAGGGTAAGAGAACAGGTGTACTTTGCCGAAGTCATCGCCAGTAGACAGGAGTTTTTTCTCGTGGGCCCGACAGACGGCGTTGATGTCAGTTCCATCTGAGCCTTCGGGCCACACTCCTAAAATAAAGACCAGAGACAGAGCGCTGGAAATACCAGAAATGCTGGGCCATGCTGTGTGGGGACTGCATTAAACTCTCCAAAATAAAATCGCCTAAGTCCGGGGCTTAGAAACTAGGGCCTAGAAAGCACTGTCTTGCTCCAGGCCTCTCCCTGTTTCTGCGAGTGGCTCACTCCAGGCCATTCCCAGGAACCCCTTCAAGGCTTAGCCCTGCTCTGTGGCAGGACAGGAGCAACGAACAACAAGCTCACTGGGCTCCCACCTCTTTTGGGCCCCTTCTTGACAATACAGCACAAAGTGGGCCAGAAACCCTGCTTCTGGACACAATGCCTTTCATCTGTCCCAAAGCGTCTGATGGGAAGCTGACTAGTCCTCAAGCATGCAGTTTCCTAGCTTTTCTTTTTTCTAGGTAACTCTTTACATGTGAGAGTCTCCGCAAAGAACTTTTTAACCCTGGGTCTGAGTGTGCCTTTCAAGCATTTCTTGGTGTCAGCTCTTCGTGGCTGCTGCTTGCTTTGTGACACCTGGCAGATGTTGTGTCTGCCTGCTGTGGGCGGGGCAAGGCAGCAGCTCTAGCTCTGGGGCCCTGTGCCCAGGTGGGCCTGAAGCATGGTCTGGGGGTGGTGTCTCCTGACCACTGCTCCAGGAAACCCTTCTGGTTCCAGTAACTTCGGATCTGAGAGAGCTGTATGCGCATCAGTTTCTCAGCTGGAAGTTCTGCAGTAAACCTGGGGGTCCTGGCATTTAATACCAGAAAATGGTACAATGCCAGCTCTAAGGAGACTTGTGGAATTCTGATCAAATTATTGACCTATGGTTTTACAGAAAGCGATGATAAATACTGCTTTTGCTCTACTACATTGTGGCAATTCATTTTGTCTTTTAATTATGTTTTCAATGATTTTAGAGAAGAAGGGAGAGAGAAACATTCATGTGAGAGATAGATCAACTGCCTCCTGCACACCCCCTACTGGGGATCGAGGCCAAAACCCAGGCATGTGTCCTGACCGAATCGGCGACCTTTGGTGCATGGGATGACACTCAACCAACTGAGCCACACTAGCCAGAGCTGTGCAATTTATTTTAGATAGTTTATGAATATATTCCGAATCTGAACTTGGAAGGAAGTGGAAATTTTAGTTTAAGGACCAGGAAGATGTAGTGATAACTCTAACAAATAATGAGTGAATTGACTGAGGGCCACCTGGCCCATCTATCTAGGAGCTCGGGCAGGTGAGAAGATTCTAGGGAATTACCCCAGGACCCATATTTATACAAGAGGAAAGGGTGAACGCCGTGTCCTGGCTCTCCTTGCCCAGCCCTTCCCTGGGGGCTGGGGGCAGTGTCCTGTGGGGCTCTGTGGCAGCTCAGCGCTTGGACGGAATTGTGACTACGAGGTGTCCTGTTAGGGGAATGTTCTCAAAGTGGACACGTCTTACATTTGAACCACGTGAGGACTGCGGAAACTTACCAAAGACATGGAACCCCAAGGTGCACGTGTATGTAGCCCATTCGATGTCTCTCGTAGTTTCCACACTGACAACTTGCTTACAAGCAGAGGGAACCCCTGGAAAACGCAAACGCAGGTCTCATGACATCTGAGCAAAAGCCCCCTCTCCTCCAGGGGCAGGCTGGGCCCTGAGAGCCTCATCTGCGACAGAGCCTCAGGAGAGGGACATGGTCCCCCTCCCAGCCCATGGGAACTGAGCTCCCAGCCGGCACCGAGCCCAGCCCCCAGGCCTGGGAGGAGCCCGCCTCTTCCTCGCTTTCCTCACATCTCCCTCTCCGGGGCTGTTTTCCCCAGTCTCCCTTCTCTTTTCTTTGACTATCTTCTGGTTCCAAGGTCTCTGCCTGCTCACTGTCCCCCTTGGAGCCCTGATCACAACTCAGGCTCCCAGCCCTGCCCCTCCCCACATACAAGCACGTGCACACCCCCAATCCCTTTAACTCCAAGCTACGGAAGCTTACGGAAAGCAGACCCAGTCCCTACAGCCTCCCAGGTGCTGGTTTGTTCCCCAGATCAGCTCTCCCTCGTGAAGTATGAGAGTGTCTGAGACCAGACCCAGGGACTGTCCCTGAAAACCTTCCCTGTTTCTGCCCCGAGTCAGGCAGAACCTGGGGAGGGCAGGAGGGTTGACCACAGGCCGCCCTCCCTGCTGAGGGGGCGTGGTGCTGGCACAGGTATTTCCCTTTCCTCCACCACCAGCTGCCCTGCGTGTCCCTGGCTCTGCCACAAGTGGCGACCCCACCCCACCGCCTGGTTCTTGATGCGTATGGCCTCATACCCGGGCCCCAATTTCCTTGTCTACAAAACGGGCTGAGCCTGAAAGTGCCGTGGCTCATGTGGGGAGATGGCGGTGATAACAGCATGCTTTTCAGTACCTTCCGGCGGGTGGAGCCTGGGCCCTCACGCCCTGTGACGCCCTGTGCTTGGGCATGTGGCAGGGGCTTGGCAAGTGTTTGGGGAAGCAGAGTGGGGCATGTGCCACGTGCTCAGTAAGTGCCAGCCATTACCATCCTCACTGTTCCCGAGTCCTGCCTGGGCACTGACATCGGCTGGAGGGGTTGGGAGAGGAGGAGGGGTCCCAGGGGGCTGCTGTCACCCAGGCGGGAGAGGCTTCATGGTCTCATTGGGATAACGTGCCCACAGGGTCCCTCTCGCTGTGACGGCTCTGACCCCACTCTCTTCTGCCACATCTGCACCTCCAGCCCCTCTCTGCAGGGCTTGGTCGGCTTTCTTCCCCTCAGGGCCCTCATCCCCTTAACAGGGGCCCACGGTCGACCTGATCTCCAGGAGCCTCGGCGTTGGGAAGGACCTGGAAGGCTGTCCAGCCCAACTTCTCCATTTTCCAGAGGACAAAACCAAGGCCCGAGTTGTTCGGGAAGGGGGTTTTTGCAGGAGGCCCTATTTGTTCCCAGAGTAAACGTGCTCCTGGTGCTACTCACAGTAAAGGATTTCATAGTCTCCGGAATTTGACACAAGGAACTGTGAGTTCACAGACCAGTCCAGGTGAGTGATGAAGCTGGAATGACCCTGGGAGAGAAACACATCACATGAGCTTCCCCACCTTGTGCACTCCTGACCGACACGGTGCCGACGTGGGTGATGACTGCAGACCCGTGTGTGAGAAATGAGTGCGCTTACCGAGCACTTGCCAACTCGCGTGTACTTCCTCCCGTGGTCACTGACTCCGTATATATAGATGCAGTTGTCATGGGAGCCTATTGCTAAGAAATTCCCATCTACAAAGATATCACAGATTACAATTCAATTGTTGAAAGTAAACATTTGATCAGTTATAAGGGGTGATGCTAGCTGCCACCACAGATTTAGAAAAAAATAGCCAAATTAATGAATTATTTCAAAAAGAAAATTTGCTCTTGAATGATGACTATACCATTTCCAGAGCTCTCTCTTAAAAATCGTACCTGGCCGGATATCCCCTTCCCTGGCCGCCTCCCCCCTCCCAATAAGGGACCGAGACTCAGTTCCTGAGTGGGGCTCATAAGGCCCTGCAGGTTGTGGCCAATCATTCCTCACTGGGCTCCAGGTTCTCTCAGGCCCTCCCCTGCCTGGAAGCCCTTCCTGCCTGGTCTCTGTACACACTGCCCCCCTCCACCCGATTCTTTGAAAAGATCAACAAAATGGACAAACCTTCAACTAGACTGACCAAGAAAAAAAGAGAGAAGACACAAGTTACCAGAATTAAGAATGAAAGAGGAGACATCACTACTAACCTCAGGAAAATTAAAAAAATGAAAAACAAATGTTATAAACAATTTTATACCAATAAATTAGACAACTTAGATGTAATGGAAAAATTACATCTGACTCAAGAAGAAACCAAAAACTTTGAATAAACCTATAAAAAGCAAAGAAATTGAATTAGGAGTTAAAAAACCTTCCCACAAAGAAAAGCCCTGATGGTTCACTGAATTCACATGAATTCTATAAAATATTTAATAAATAACACCAATCCTTTAGAAACTCTTTCAGAAAACGAACAAAGAAGGGACATTTTCTAATTTCCTCTATAGGCCAATAGCAGTCTCATAACTAAACCAGACAAAACCATCACAAGAGAACTACAGACCCATATCCCTCATAAACATAGATACAAAACTCCTTAACAGAAGATTAACAAACAGAACCCAACGATATATAAAAAGGGTTAGACACCATGACCATGTGAGATTTACCACAGTAATGCAAAAATTTTCTGGCTTAACACCAGAAAATTCATGTCATGCATCATAATAATAAAATAAAGGATGAAACCACACAGTCATCTCGATAGGTACAGAAAAGGCATTTGGCAAATTCTAACACCTATTTGTGATAAAAACAAATTGATTCTGGGACAACCAGGTATCTATATGCAGAATAAATAAACTTAGACTCTTACCTCTTACCATACACAAGCATGAACTCAAAATGGATCACAGACCTACCTGTAATGGCTAAAACAATAACCTTTCTAAAAGAAAGCACAGGAGAAAATCTTCATGACCTTGACTATGACATCTTAAGCAAGATCAATAAAAGAAAAAAACTGGTAAACTAGACTTCAAAAGACCCCATTAAGAAAATGAAAAGACAAGCCATGTACTGAGAGAAAACATTTGCAAATCATATATCTGAGAAAGAACTCATATACAGAACATAGAAAGAGTTCTTACAACTCAGTAGTAAGGCAAACAACTCCATTAAAAATGGGCAAAATATTTGGATAGTTCATCAAAGAAGGTATAGAAATGACTGGTAGACACGTCAAGAGATGCTCAACCTCTCTGATAGTCTTTACAGAAATGTAACTTAAAACCATAAGATACCACTACATCTCCATCAGAAGAGCTCTAATAAAAAAAGACAAAAATAGCAGGTGTTGGTGAGGATGTGGAGAGACTAGACCACTGACACATCATTGGTGGGAATGTAAAGTGGTGCTGCCGCTTTGGAAAGCAGTTGGGCATTTTCATCAGATGTTAAACATAAATTTACCAATTTGACTCCTAGGAATTCACCCAAGATAAATGAAAACAAATGTCTACAAAAGTACATATAATGACTGTTCACAGCAGCATTACTCATAATAGCCAAAGCAGGGAAACAATCCAAGAGTCTGTTAAGCGGTGAATAGATAGAGAAAATGTGGTCTATTTTGGAATACTATATAGCAATTAAAAAGGAACATATGGGGGGGGGTAAGTGTTGCTGGAAGGAGTCTTGACTTGGGGTGATAAACACACAATACAATATACAGTTGATGTGTCATAGAATTGTACACCTGAAACCTACATAATTTTATTAACCAATGCCACCCCAATACATTCAATAAAAACAAAAAAGGAACAAACTACTGATACATGCACAATAACACGAATTAATCTCAAAAACATTATTCTAAGAAAAAGAAGCCGGGTGTAACTGGCTACATGTTGTATGATTCGATTGATACAAAATGCCCAGAACAGGCAATTTATCGCCCAGCAGATCAGAGGGTGCCCAGACTGGGGGTGGCGGCAGAGACCAATTGCTCACGGGCAAGGAGGGAACGCTCTGGGGTGCTGAGAACGTTTTAAAATTGGGTTGTGGTTGTGCAACTCTATCAGTTTACTGAGAATCAATGAGCTGTACGCTTATAAAGCCGCTAAAAAGGAGCCCTCGTCTTCTTGAGACACAGACAGCGACAGTAATGGGAGAAAGGACAAGACATCTGCGAACCGCTTCAGAACAACACGGAGGCGCAGGGGTGGGGTCACTGCCGCTGGTGACGGATACACGGGGTTCAACATGCTCTTCTGCCCAGGCGGGGGTGTTTGAAGTTTTCATAATAAAGATTTAAAACACACACGAGCATAGTGACAAAGAGGAGCAGCGGCCCCCTAAACGCCAGCGATGCGTGTGCAGCTTACGCCTGGGCTGGGGAGCTGCGGGGAGGGGCGCGGGCCCGGGGAGCTGGCGGGCGGCCCGCGCCCTCGCCCTCGTCCTCGCCCTCGCCCTCACCTGGCGAGTACCGCATCACGGACAGCTGCTCGTTCCCGTCTGTGTGCACCGTGACCAAGTCTTTCGTTTCTGTGTCAAACACGAACCACCTGTTGTCAACGAGAGAAAGGACAGCAGGCTGTTCAGTGGGAGGGAAGGAAGGCTGTGACGATACCAGTAAGACAGTAAAAACTAGTAACCCAAGGGCTCAATAAATGCTCCCTATGCACTTAGCAAGGACGCGGGTTCCCAGCTTTATTTAAAGAAAATGTCCTGCCTACGAGTTTTTCCTGGAAAGGAGCAGCACACTGGCGGCCTCTGGACGTGATTTGGTTACTGAGGCTGTGACTGGTTCCTGGACGGCTGAGTTTTGTCATTTACATTTAAAAGGAGGGACAGCCCTGGGCAGGGAAGCGGGGCGACATCTAATGCCGGCCTGTGGCCACACAAGCAGCTGGTGATGGATACACGAGGGTTCAACATGCTCTTCTGCCTGGAGCCCAGCGGGGGTGAAGCAGGACAGGCCCAGGAGTGGGGCTGGGACAGCCTGAGGGGTGGTGTTCCCCACTGTGCCGAGTGTCTGGCCTCCCTGAATGCTGGCGGGCAACCAGCAGTGAAAGAAAGGGTGGAGGGAACGGAAGGAGGGAGTAGAGGGCCGGTGTTTGAAGGTAACCCTTCTGGACTTAGTTTCCTCGGCTGTAAAATGGGGGTAAGGGCCCAGAGCCGCTGGTCAGGCCCTGTGCACAGTCAGTCAGGTTATACAGATACAGAAGTGCCCTGTGCCCCTAAGGACGTGGCAACCAAGCTCAAGCGGTGGAATGCTGCACTCCCCCACCCGTGTGTCCTTGGGTGGTGGCAGTAACCAGACTTGTGTTCTCAGGAACGGAAGGAACCTGGGTTGCCTGCTCCTGTGGTTTCAAACCTAGACGACACTTCCCATGAGCACGTCCTCTGTGCCGGCACCACTATCTGAGCCTCCCATTGGGGGCCCTACCATCCCCACCCAGAGGGCCTGGCCAACCCCCTGAAATTTGGATTTGGCGTCTCAGCTTTGAGTCCTTGCATCTGCAACGTCCAGTTACCTTTCCTGTGCTATTTAACCTTCATAGGGGTCAGAACACATAAGAAGTAGGGAGACTGGGGCCAGCTAGGCCATCCTCTGAAAAGGCCCGTTGAACTGCCCCATCAAGAGCCAAGCCTGGCGCTGGGACCAGAGACGCGGGCACCATCAACAGAGGGGAGGGATTAGGCTGCATGTCCCCTCCTGGCCCCACAGGACACCATCCGTGATTCTGAGCATCCCAGCACTGTCACCACGTTCCCCCCCCCCCCC